CTCAGGTAGCCATTTTGGGTCCGTAGCGTTCGGCTCTGGCCGACGCGCGGGTGCCCACCCACCCCGCTTTGCTCCCAGACGCCTGCGTCGGCCGAGCGGCCGCAGGCGTGCCAGAGCGCGAGCGCGCGGGCCGTCAGGGCCCACGCGCTCGCGTTGAGCGTGGGGCCATCAGGGCCCACGCCCAGGCGGAGATGCGCGTCGCCACGCTGCCATGAAAATACCATCGCCCTGTCCTGGTCCCTCTCTCGTCCCCTCCTCTCCTCCTCTCCCTCCGTTGAGTGCACGCGTATCTCACTTAACCAAACAAACACCACCGCAGAAGTCGACTGCACCCCACCTAACCATTGATTCGGCCACACTCACATCAAAACACACAACCCACGAAGGCCATCACAACCTGGTCACCCACAGTACGTTACACGACACCCGTACACTCACCGCCACTTACACTCAAGATCCCCATGGTCTGCCCACCAATCGAGGACGTCTTGACACAACAGTGGTTACAGCATATTCCAACCCATAACCTGGCACCACCGACTACCGCCACCAGGCAGGTATACTTCCCTTTCAAGGCCCCACCTGGCACTCTACGTCACACCATCAACATACCAGCCCCACGAACCGAAATCAACAGCTTAGGACGCATCTTCTTGCACGACATCGGCTACCCGCGCTTCCACGAATACATCGCCATCGTGCGCGCGCACCAAGCACAGTACGAGCAGAACCTCACGGAGGTTCACATCCGAAACTATCAACACGGGATACCTTACAAAGTCACCATTCATCTTGAAATTGCCATCGAAGCCTAAGCAGCACCAGGCCCACCCAGACGACAACAACAACAAAACGTCATACTCACGTAATTGCGCTGCCGCGATAAAGACCAGGCTACGACACCGACGCGGGTACCTACAGTCAGAACATGCAATGGGCACACCGCGACATCCACCACAAGTTCTACCTCGTCGCCGGTTCCAGCGGAACCGCAATGTCTGACATCCTCCTATACTCCTCCAGAGATTCTTCCCTCCTCAGTAGACACTGCAATGGTACCAGCTGCTGTGTTTCAGCAGGCTCAGTTGCATACATCACTCACTGGCAGCACATGTTTGCTATGCGCGTGCGCAATACGTTCTGCGTGCGCACTGTGCCTCACCAGAAGGAGGCCCCACCGCCAGCAGCCCGACGACCGTCATTCTATTCCTGCTGCCGTCACTGTGTTTCCACTTGCTCCTCCTGCCTTCCCCACGTTTAACGAGGTCTGCTGACATAGCCAAGCGTGTCCGTTTGGCCTCCCCCCGCTTTCCGGGGCCGTACCCTACCGACCGCTGCGGACAGCAGTCACCTTGGACATCCCTTGGATGCTCAGGGTTTCTGTTATCCTCTCCTTCGGTTGCTCGCGCCCCTGGCTCCCCTGCCTCTTCCCCGTCGTTATTGCTTGATTCTCCTTTTTAAAAACAGAATAAGATCTACCCCCCCCTGGCGTTATCACTCCCCTTGTCGGGTATGTAAATCATATATGATTTTGACCACTAAATATGAATTTGCACTATCCCAGGGGGGCCAGTATCCCCCCCCCTGAGGGTCCCTTGTAAAAAACACTATGCGGTAACATTTGTTGGTCTAACATAACACGTGTTCACGAATCCCTTGCAAACAATGGGACGAAGTGCACACGCGCGCGTCGTCGCGCGCGCATGCCGAAATCCTGCAAAAACCTTCGGTGTCGGAAGGATTTATTTCGCAATCGAAAACACAGGGTGTCGCAACATTGATTTGCCAAAAAATCTTCCGCGCGAGCTCTTGCGAAATCGTAAAGAATCCATAGGGTTTTCAAATTTTTCACAACATGCTATTAAACGGGCTTCGCGCGCGCATGTCGAAATCTGTCGAACGCCCTTGCGCGTGTGCCGTCGCGAGAATCCTCTGCAAAAAATGGGGCGAAGTGCAGACGCGCGCGTCGTCGCGCGCGTATGCCGAAATCCTTCAAAACCCATCGGTTTCGGAAGGATTTCAAAATCGTGTGTCCAAAAAACCTACAAACACCCAAGGTTTCGCAACACGGATTTTCAACAAAAGCGTGCGCGCGCGCTTTTGCGTCGTCGTCGTCTTCGTCGGCGTCGTCGTCGTCGCCGTCCTCCCTCCTACCGCGTCGTCATCGTCGTCGTCGCCTACGTCGTCCTCTGTCTTTCCTCGTGTTCGTCGTCGTCGTCCTCTTTGGTGTCGTGGTCGTTTCCGTCGTCGTTGTTGCCGTGGTCGTCCTTGCTCCTCCTCCCTCGTCGTCGTCGTCGTCCGTCGTCGGCGTCTCGTCGTCGTCCCTCCTATTTCGTCGCCGTCGTCGTCGTCGCCGTTGTCGTCGTCGTCTTCCCTCCTCCCTCGTCGTTGTCGTCGTCGGCGTCGCCGTCCTTCCTCCTTCTTCGTCGTTCGCGTCGTCGCCGTCCTCCCTCCTCCCTCGTCGTTGTCGTCGTTGTCGTCGTTGTCGCCGTCGTGGTCCTTCCTCCTCCCTCATCGTCGTCTTCGTTGGCGACGTCGTCGTCTTCGTCGTCGTCGGCGTCGGCGTCGTTGTCGTCGTCGAAGTCGTCGGAGACGTCGTCGGTGTCGTCGTAGTCGCCGTCGTCGTCGTCGTCGTCGGCGTCGTTGACGTCGTCGTCGTCGTCGTCGGTGTCGTCGTTGTCGTCGTCGTTGTCGTCGTCGAAGTCGTTGGAGACGTCGTCGGTGTCGTCGTAGTCGGTGTCGGCGGCACCGTCGTCGTCGTTGTCGCTGTCGTCGTCGGCGTCGGTGTCGTGGCCAAGTGTCATGTGGTACGTACCGTCACGGTCTTGTCTTAAGAGGTCTTGCGACCAAGTTGCGGGTGGGAGGGTGGGATGTTTGCACGAGCAGTAGAGAGGACAGCTTCAAGACGGTCAAGTATTGTTTTCACTGTAGTCTTTCCCACTTTGCCAGTTTGCACGGTGTCAGCAGCAGCAGCAGCAGCCAGTACCAGTGATTCGAGATTCCTCGGGGGGAGGATTAAGCTCGCGCGGAGAGGACGGCATTCAGCTACTTGGTGCATGGTTTGTGTTACCTACCTTGCCTCGCGCCCCCTTATCTCTCGCATACATGCGCAGCTGTTTCACTAGGCCAGCCAACGCCGACTTGGCAGCCTCCCGCTTGCAGCTAAATGTTTTGCTGCACGCCTTGACGTGCTAATACCGCTTGTCCAGTAACTCCCCTCCTACCACCTCTGGTTACAAAACGGTGAAGGTGCACCCTCCACCGAGGATCCGAAGAGCGGGCCTATTGCTGGCTAATATGTATCACTACTACAGGGAGTATCACATACCTGTATCACTAGGTCACTCTACGCAGACTTGGCCAGCCTCTGATCACAGCATAACGTATCTGCTGCACGTCTGAACCGATCGTACAGGTCCCACGGCGAAAGGACAATTCATTACTGTTGGCAGCGGAGTGGGAGGACTCTCCCACAGCTGTATCACAACAGCCTCTACCGACCTGGCCAGCACTTGATTACAGCAAATAAATTGCCGCGCGCCTGAACTTATATCCAGCCTTACGGGGACGGGACAACTCTTTCTGTTTGAGACGAGCGCCACGTTTCAATTCCCGACTTAATCGCGGCTACTGGCAATACCAGTCTCATGCTCACTCGGCAAGACTTCCCGCATATCATTCGCACCGGACGCTTTTACCAGTGGCCACTGCATCCTCGGCGTGCTATGTGGTGCAGGTGTGTACTGATGATGGGGGTGGGGACTCGCGCAGCTGTATCTCTAGGCCAGCCTCTACCGACCTGGCCAGCCTCTGTTTGCAACGTACTACATTGCCGCGCGCCAGAACTCATACCCAGTCTGACAGGAAAAAACTGACTTCTTACCATTGGCGGCGTACGCCACGTTTTCTTATCCAGCTTACTCGCATCCGTTGGTGATACTAGACTCATGGCTCACTCACCAAATTCTTCTGGCATCTTACTCGCACCAGGTGAGAGGACTCTGAGGTGGAGGTGTTGAATTGGTTCTGGGGGGGATGTCGCACATCTGTATCACTAGGCCAGACTTTACCGACGTGGTCAACCTGTGTTTACAGCAAAGTACGTTGCCGTACGCCTGCACTTGTATCCAGTCCTGCATAAAAAAAGGCTCCCTGCCTTTGGCGGCTACCGTCATGTTTTTTTGATTTGTTTTGGGTTTCCCTCCGATTTACTCGCAGCCGCAGATAATACCTGTCCCATCGCTTTCTCACCAAATTCTTCTCGCAATTTACTCGCACCAGCTGGTTTTATCAGTGGCTTGAGGGAGCGCGTACCATCGAATCACCTGGGGGGTCTCGGAAATTGTAGTTTTGAATATCTTTCGCTAAGGTACTTGCTTACCCCTTCTACCTGGCGGGCGCCTGCTTTCTTTACTAGTATTTGCTTTCTTTCTTTTCCAGCCCGCCCCGCGGCGCCCGCCGTATACCTTTTGCGTCAAGTGGGTCTGTTATTTTCCTTACCGCTTTCTTCGTTCAGCAGCGCCCTAATCTTAGGATTCAGGTTTGGCCAACGTCAACAATGAGGAGAAGGATGAGGAGGGTAATAGGAGGGTAATAGGAGGGTAAGAGGAGTGTAGGAGGAGGAGGATGGTGGAGGAGGAGGAGGAGGACTGGACCCCTGTCCTGAGTAGTCTCGCCTTTCACCTCGAGCCGTTTTTTGACTGTCCCAGGGCCAGGGCCTGGCGAGTGCCCCCAGGGGCAACAACTTGGCGAAACACCCTCTGTCGATATGTTTTACAATGACCGGATGTCAGGGTCCTCGCTCCCCTGTCTCCGCGGACGCATGTGTGCACCGTGCGGCGTTGGCGCCTCTTGAGGCGTCGTCGAATGGTGCAGTGCATTAGTTTTTCGGTTCCCATAGCAAGGACACTTTGTACCTCGGGGGCGGGACTTTCAGGGGATTCCAGACATAGCACGGCGCTGCATCTCCCCCCCATCCGTGTCGCGCGCGCGCGCCGCAGGCCTCTTCTGAGGCGGGCGGCCCCCCGCTCCCGCCCCGCGTCCCCCCCTCCCGCGGCAGAGGGGGCGGCGACGGAACAGCGGGGAAGAGGAGGAGGGAGAGAGGGAGGGAGGTAGCGGATGGAGGGAGGAAGCGGAGGGGGAGGTGGGGTTTGGGATTGCGCATTTGACTCGACCCCCTGGCTGGTCAGGTCAGGGAATGCCTTCGGCAACCGGCTGTGTGAGACACAATGTAACGGGCAGAGCTGCAGCATTGGCGCCAAGGATGCGGGCAAGCATTGTTGCATTTCGCAAGGCACGCGTTGTTACCTTTCGCAGTGCAGCAGTACAGTACGCAGAAGGCAAGCCAGTGCATATTCAAAGAGAGGCACAACAATAAGACAGCGAGGCAGGGTTGTCCTGGGCTGTTTCTTTGTGCCGGGTCCCTGCGCATACAAAGAACGGTGCAACCTCGGCCAAGCATCCTACACCTGATGGGGAGATGATATCTTCGGCCACAGTACGGCACGCGCACGACACGGCGGAGGAACAAACACTACGACTCAAGAGAGGGGATTCTGCTGCACATGCTCTCCTGCCAAAGCGGCTTGTTTTAACTGCTTGGTGCCAGCCGAGTCCGAACATGCGTATTGTCATCAGTAGCCAGTTCGGAGCCAGAGATGTTCGCCCCTTTCACTGCACGAGCGACGGACGACGGAGGACAACACCAACGGTTACCTGCACGCCAAGCAGCGCCCTCCACATCCCATGCAGCATCCGGGCGGAGGCATACGGGCGGAGGCACCAGAACCTGCGGGGGCGGGACTGCAGGCATCTCCAAAAGGGGGGGCCTCGCATGTACGGTACGCATTGGGTGTACCATTACCCCTGTTCTGGGGTCACGGGGGCCTCTGGCCTCTCCACTCTCACTCTGTCCTCTTGGGCGGTTGCCGGCGGGTCCTTGGAACCTGTGCACGTTGATTTGGGCGCAAAGGCGCAGTAGAGAGAGAGGGGAAGGCAGCGGTGGTGGCAAAACAGAAAGTGTGAGGTAATGACCTTCACGACAATTGAATGCTGACGCGCTGGCTTGCTCTGTCGAACAGACCCTGCCCGAACGAATCGACAGCCCAAGGCGCCGCAGCGAGGTGTGCTCTAGCTGCCTCTGCAGCCCTGCGCTCTCGTGCCTGCTCACGATTCTTCGCACTTCGTGCTCTACTCTCGTCTGACACACGCACAGGCTGTGGAGGAGGGGGAGGTGTGGGTGTCGAGCTTGGGGTTCCCGTCAGTGGTTCGCCGAGGAATGATTGGGCATCAACGCATTCCTCGTCCTCGGTGAGCCTCAGGTGGCCCTGGGGGGCCTGCTGGGCCGTCCTGGGCGGTCGGGAGCCCGAGAAAGCGGTGACGCCCAAATCCTTGCAAACCACGCAAAATTCATGACATTGAAGCTCAAGGGGCCATGTTTGTTGTAGCTGCATTGGACCATCGCGGGGCTATCTTGCGGCGTCTTGGGGTTGTCTTGGGGTTGTCTTCGCCCATTTTTGGGCTGGCCATCATTGATCCTTATTCTTGTGCCCTCTCGGAGCTCCCTCGGGGTCCGCTGGGGCGCTTCTGGGGCAGTGGGGGCCCTGCAGACAGCCGCCAGGAATTTCAGCATCCGTGGCCCCCACTTTGCTGGGACCTTCCCAGGACTTGCCCGGGCTACTTTTCGCCTGTGGTCCCCCAGGCGAAGAATTGCGCGCGCGAAGGATGATTATGCTGCAATGCTGAACCTCTGGAAGAGATTCAAGCACACCTCCTAGCCCGTGTGGTCAGAGAATTACGATCACCGTCGGCAGCCCAACAGGACAGGGCCCCCTCGCCTCTTACAAACCAACGTCAAACTAGCTCGGACTTTCGCCAGATGTTCCAAAAACATTTCGAAACCAATATCAAAGGTTCAGGACTGGTCTGTCCAGCTTGTCGTTTGCGTGCCTTCCCAGTACGCTCCGCATTCCAGGTTCCGGGTTCAATGTTCAGGGTTCCGGGTTCCAGGTTCCAAGTTCGGGTTCTGGGTTCCAGGTTCCGGGTTCCAGGTTCTAGGTTCGGGGTTCTTTGTTCCAGGTTTCGGGTTCTTCTGGGTTCTCCCAGGTTTTGGGCTCTTCGGGGTTTTGGGTTCCGGGTTCACAGTTCCAGATTCCGGGTTGCATGTTCTGGGTTCCGGGTTTCAGATTCCGGATTCTGGGTTTTTCGGTTCGAGGTTCTGGGTTTCGTGTTCCGGGTTTTGGGTTCCGTATTTTGGGTTTCGAGTTTTGGGTTCTTGAAGAATCACGCGACCGATCGGATCGATTTTTGGGTAATCGAAGCAGTCGAAGCGATCGAATCGATAGAATTGATGCAGATGCCGATCCGGCATATGATGTGGAATTTGTTTGATCCGATACAGGTCCGATATAAGATTCGATCCGTTGCGTGATTCGATATCTACATGTTACCGATCCGATCGCATCTGCCATCATACATCGATCTGGTCGGGCGTTCGACGAGCCAGGAACGTCGGCGGCGGCCAGCCGAATTTTCGACATGTCGCGTAAACGCTCGCAGGGGGCAAGCGTGGGATTACCACGTCGATCATTCGAACCAAGGAAAGCAAGCGCGCGGGGCTTGCCATGAAAAGCGTCACGAGCGTCATGGTGAAAGCGACGCAATTTATTTACCGAAGACTGCTGTCGTTCTATGGAAATACTCAGACGCTCCGCAGCGCCCAAGGTCTTCGCCCTCCCCGTTTTTTTCCTATCGTATCCATCTATGAGGGGGCGCAGCGGTCTTACACCATCCCCATATGCGGGGCTGGAGTTTCGTTGAGCTGAGCTCATTCTTGTTGTTGCCCTTGTTGTCGTCGCCCCACCTGCGACCCGCCGCGCGTCCCGCCCCGCGACCCGCCATATCTAAGGGCGTCTTGCAAACGAGGGCCCGCGTCTGAAAAAAACCAGCGACTCGAACACCAAATTGTAATTGACGACATGTAATGCTGTGATTTCCATGGTAACTGTTATGATGATGACGATGATTCACCTCGTGCTTCTAGGTTTGGGAATGGGGGGGGGGACGTAGTTTTCGAAACATTCAGGGCTTGAGCGTTGATAGCAGCGCCTCGGAACCCTGGGAATAAAGGGGCGAGGCTGTGAATAGGACGAGGAGGGGGCGAGGAGCAAGGCATGAGACAAGTTTGACAATATTGGGAGGCGAGGAAGGAGCCGCCCAGCACCACTAGCCCTGGATCGGTCCATCTAGAACGAGCTGGCGATCGGGAAGCCGCCGATCGTTCAAGGTTGAACGATCCACGCAGTGTCGGAAACCAATGCTGACGTCATCGCAACGCGAACTTGCTGCATACGCTTTCCCGGCTTGGCCAGGAGGGCACAGCCGATCGATCTTGGGCCCAGGATGGGTCTACCCGGGCGCGCGTGCCTGCGCAGAGACGGCGGCAAGCGCCCCCCCCCCCCTTTGGGCCCTGGGCACCGAAGGAGGAGAAGGAGGAGGAGGAGGAGGAGGAGGAGGAGGAGGAGGAGAAAGAGGAGGAGGGGGAGGAGGAGGACGAGGATGAAAAGGAAGGAGGAGGATGAAGAGGAGGAGGAGGAGGACGACGAGAAGGAGCGGGACGAGGATGACGAGGACGAGAACGAGCAGGAGGAGGACGAGGAGGAGGACGAAAAGGAGGAAGGGGAGGACGACGACGACGAGGACGAGGAGGAGGAAGAGGCCGACGAGTAAATATGCTCCTCTCCGCCTCATATTCAATTAGAACTTAACTTAGTTTGCATGCATTGCACTGTCCGCGTGAACTGAAGCTGCGTTTCCGCAGCCATACGACTGCTCGAGCCAGCCGACCTCGGCTGGCAGCATAGAAAAGGAGCGCGCTGGGGTGCGTGGGCGGCTCGTCGTCGTCCGTCCTCGGCCGGCCTCCTCCCTTCATACTCCTGACAGAGTAGTCTTGCTTAACGGATACTTGTCCTATCAATGTCTCATCCCGCCTCCGCTCTCCCTGAGCAGAGTGAACATGAGATCTTAATTCCTTTTGTCATCTTGCCCCGATTCTCAGAGGAAAGACTGGTCATCAGCCGAAACGCGCGACTCAGTCGACGCGGGGCCATTAGATATAAAAAAGATGTTTCAGTCGTGCCCCGCGATTCAGTCGCTGCGGGAGAGAGCTATGATAAGATTAATACAGTGTCTAATATCTCGAGAAGCGCTGATTGGCGCGTGGAACAACATGATGGACAGGATGCAGACAGAGACGGTCCTGTTCATGACCGAATCCCTCCTTCATATATTGCCGATCGGGTCGTGAGGGGGAGAAGTACCGAGGGGATAACCGAAATGTCGGTAGACGTATCCTCCGCAGGGGCTCCGGTAGCTGATCGTGAGCAAACCCCCGACCCTCACGGGCGAGATGGCGTCACGCCAAGACCCAGGCGAGGTGCATTCTCGTCACGGAGTGCCAAATCGACGGAGTCAATAAGCTCCATCCAGAATACGCCACAAGCCACTGCCATTGCCGCTGGCCCAGCCAGCCGGCCAGGGGAGGTCCACGGGAATCTGAATACGTATCCTGGTATCCCCGTAGAATGTGTGGGTATGCACGTTACCGCCCCAACCCTATAGCACTTAACGGACAATTTGGTCAGGATGGTGATGATCCAATAGAGAAAGATCATGAAATCTATTCCATGGAGGAAGATTTTGATGGTATCAATAATGCTACCTCCTTGAGCCGAGCGTTGTCCGTGATGATAGAAGGAAACATCCCTGCTCGAGACGAAAGGTGGTCTCCAGATGGATCCGATGAAGACACTAATAACCTGACGCCTCAGGCGGGCAGGACGGAGACTCAGATGAAACATGAGAGGGAGTCCACTGGACGAACTCTTGCGCCTAACTTCGAGAAACAACGGAATGAGGACTACGAACTAAGCGTCCCGCCATTAAAGGAAGGTTTCTTCCGTCATGCCACCACCTCAGGCGAGTGGCAACCCACTATTCCAGCTGTTGTTGAGGATGAAGAAATGGTCGGGCAACCAGATATACATGCTCAGCTAATAACACAAGACGAAAAGGATGAGGA